GCAGCATAGACTAAGGAGGTTCTCATCAGAGTATTTATTGCAACATCTGGATTTTGAAGACTACATGGGATTTCCTGGGAGCAAGGGCCAAGAAGGGTCTTCACCTGAGTATTCATTTCTGCATCTGGCTATTGGAGACTATATAGGATTCTCTGGGAACAAGAACTGAGTTGGGTCTTCACCAGACTGTCAGTTTAAGACTGCATGGGCTTCCTTCAGAGAAAGAGCTAAGGTGGGTCTTTGCCAGCGTTACTTTATCTAGCTGATAAGGACTGTGTGGGATTCCCCAGGAATCATATCTGGCTGATGAAGGCTGTTTAAAATTCAAATGAGACATAAGGAGTGTTTTGTTAGAGTATTATTTTCCCTATCTGATTGCTAGGAACTGAATGAGATTCCCTGGGAGTGAGGGCTAAGGAGAGCTGTCAACAGAGCCTTTACTATATGTAGTACCCTCCTAGTTAGGGTATTAAGATATTAGGCAAATTTAGTTTGCATAACATCTTAGTAGTTGCAACTTTCCTCTGTAACCAGTGGAGCAGTTATTAATTGCTTTAGACTGTTTAGTGCTTCACAGGCTACTGGTTTGATTGCTTCCCCCTGCATTCAAGACAGTTCTAAAATCACAGTGGGTGTAAGGGGCAGATGGGCAGTCTGAATATTTATGGGGTTTAGCCAGTCCTTGGGGAGGTGTGCACAGCAGGTGGCTGGACAGCCCATAAATAGTCTGAGGCCTGGAGCAGTGTGTGCTAGTCTGTGTCCAGTCCTGCAGGAGGAGTCCCTAGACTGCAGGGCCTCTGCTCTTTTGGGCAGATCACTAGAACATTGCAGCATGTTTGAGAAGATTTGTCTGGGGCCTGGTCTGGAGAACTCATTGAACTGTAGAAGTTGGAAGAGGGTGTCCAGCTGTCCTATTGCATTGCGAGAATTGATTTCGCTCTCACTGAAGAGTGTCCATTGAATATCATAAGGAGGCTTCCGGTGATCCTGTGGCATTGTGAGTACTGACCTGAGCTCAGTGCCCAAGTGACTTTGTGCAGTTTTACTTTTTTGAGTAGGTCCTATAATTTGCTTTAACAGAAATGGCTTCTGTAAGATCCTGGTTCCAGCTACCTTATCTGCTTTTACACGGAGTCTGTTTAGAGCAGTGCTTCTCAATTATTTTCTGTCATGCCCCCCCTAGGAAGAAGAAAACATTTTGCGCCCCCCGCGCGACTGTAAATAGTATCATTTATCTATAAAATTGTTATAAGTACACCTCTGCATAACACTGTATCCTTATTAACGTATAAGAGAATAAAAAAAGAAAGAAATGTGGATCAATTTACAACAAAGAATAGCTTTATTAACTGTAGCAGAAAAGATTTAAAGTGCATTAGAAATTTAAAAAAAATAAAATCCTTAATTAAACTATAAACATTTTTTGATTGGACATGTCAAACCATATGATACTGAAAAAATACATAAAATCAATAAATAATAATGAATTCAAACCGATCACCAACATTTACTTAGGACCTAATCATTGGCGCCCCATCATTGGTGTCAGTGGGAGGAATAGTGCCTCATTATTGGTGTCAGTGGGAGGAATAGTGTCCCAACATTGGTGTCAGTGGGAGGAATAGTGTCCCAACATTGGTGTCAGTGGGAGGAATAGCGCCCCATCATTGGTGTCAGTGGGAGGAATAGCGCCCCATCATTGGTGTCAGTGGGAGGAATAGTGTCCCAACATTGGTGTCAGTGGGAGGAATAGCGCCCCATCATTGGTGTCAGTGGGAGGAATAGTGTCCCAACATTGGTGTCAGTGGGAGGAATAGTACCCTGTCAGTGGGGTGAGGAATAGTGCCCCATCGTTGGTGTCAGTGGGGGGTAAGAATAGTGCCCCATCGTTTGTGTCAGTGGGAGGAATAGTGCCCCATCGTTGGTGTCAGTGGGAGGAATAATGCCCCATCATTAGTATCAGTGACACCAATGATGCGGCACTATTCCTCCCACTGACACCAATGACACTTGCTGACCCCTGTTGCAGTATGGTGCTGCTGCAGCCAGCATATGTGGTTGCAGCAGCACCTCTGCACTGCACACTTACCGGCTTTTCCCTCACTCGATTGTCGTGGGTCCGCTCGGCTCCGCCTCCTCGCCCGTGATTGGCCGCCTGTGTACCTTTCCTGAGCTACAGTTCTGGCGGCCAATCACCGGTGAGGAGGCAGAGCCGAGCGGCAGGAGTGAGGGAGTGGCCGGAGTGACGGAAGGAGCAGCGCTTCCTGGATGGATCATCATGGGAGCCAGGTAAGAGACAGCAGCCCTCTGCCCACCCCTGTACTTAGTGTCCCTTCTGTCGGAAGGGGGGGGGGCGGTGACGCGCCCCCCTTGACGGAGCCTCGCGCCCCCCACTATTTGAGGAGCACTGGTTTAGAGAGACTAAGTAATGGTGCTTTTACACTGATTCATTTTTCTTTAATTTTTGCCATGAATAAAAAGGAAGAAAAACCTGTGACCATGTAATCCTATTGAACTTTTCACATTGATCCGTTGCAGGTTCGCTGTGTTTAGTAAAATCCTGCTTGCTGCATTTTTGGTGGAGAGAAAAAAAGCACCAAAAAAAGAATCCATTGAAAAACAAGACATGTCCTGTGAATAACGCAATGCAAACATTTTAAAAACTCAGCAAAAATGCATATGCATTATTACTGCATTTTTCCTATGGATCAGTGTGAAAGTAGCCTAAGATGAAGAATCCTCTTGTTATTTAGTGTTCCTGGGGTATCCCATACCACCCGTCATCCCATTCAAGTTACTTCAGCATTAAAATCCCAAAATAGACATTCACCTAGACTGTTTATTAAGTCAGAGTGAAAGGAGAATGCTGTGTGCCTGGCTGCCTCTGCACCAACTTTTTGGGAAAGAACTAGTTAAGCCGTAGCGGCTCCTGCAGGGGTAGCACTACATGTACATTAACGTGCCTATTTTATTGCACCGTAAAAGTCTGAATGAGCCCATAGTCTCCAGGCTGGCTCTCTGATTTCAACATCAGTGTTTCAGTAAATTTGTCTTGGGCTAACAAATATTCACTTGACACCCCAGCACAGAGTTCTTGTATACATGGAGCCACGCACCAGTTTAATCAAACCACACCATCGTACAACACGACCTATTAAAATTTACTTATGCTTTTGCGGTTTTCCACCTAATGCATTTTTAATGAAGCAATAAATTTGATGTGTACAACATCTATCTCTGATGGATGAAAAAAAAAATCTCATATTCTTAAGTGGAAAGCATTCGGTTTTGGATTTTTCCTTGATATTCAAAGAAAAAACATGGCCAGATCGCGCATCAAGAAGCCTCTAAATCAAAGCCTCTTGCAATTAGTGAGTGTTTGATTATGCAGATTAGCCAGGCAGTAGAACAGCAGCTGTGTATGTTTGCGAATCAGACTGATCATTCTTCTTGTAGCCATTTTTACTAGTACTTTGAAAAGAAAATGCATCATCTTAAAATACAAGGCATAACGCTCATTTTAGTTTATCCATTTTTTTTTAAGGCATGACCTCTTTTGAATACATGCATTTTCAGTAGCTTAACTGCCCTTAAAATCAGCATTAAATCGGTGTTATAGTAAACTTGCATTTGGGGGGATGGGGGGGGGCAGGGGCGGACTGACATGGGGCCCGCGGGCAATAGGGGATCATGGGGCCCCTATGTCCTTGCCCAAACTCAAAAAAGCCTATGAAAAAGGTACCAGGGGCATCTCATGGGGCCCCCTACTGACTCCGGGCCCTTGGGCAGTGCCCTAGTTTCCAAATGGTCAGTCCGCCCCTGGGGGGCGGGGGGGTGTTGGGTAAAAACAGGGGGTTGAGGCACCTTCTTTACTGCCCACCTTAAGTTGCAAAGGCAGCCAGAAGGGGTTAAACACATGCTGCAGTCATGTTGCTTTGCTACTGCTGCAAAAATGTTACTCCTGTTGCATTCGGTAGGCAGTACACATGGCCAACATGACCCATTTATGTGTAGAGGGCCGCACAGCAGCAGCATGCACCACCACAGGCGTAACCACAATAATTGCATACGGTTGCTGTGCTACCCTATGCACTTGAACGGGTTATTAATCAGTAGATGTACTACCCACCAAACGCAACTGAAGGTATATTTTTTCAGGAGCAGCAAAGCAAAGCATGGCATCGTATGTACAACCCATCCTGGCTACATTTGCATCACTTTTCAGAAGGCCAGCAAGGGGCTGTCACTACTATAAACTTACATTTTAGTTTTCTAAAGCCCTGTTCACATTATCGCATAGCGGGAATGAGAATTCCCACTGCGTGATTTTGACATGCAAATTTCACACCATTTTGTGAGTTGCATAGGAAAGCCCATTCACTTGAAAGGGCTACCCTACGTGTGTTTGTTGCCCAAAACTAATCTCCTGCTATTTTTTGGGTAACAAGTTTCACATGGTTTATAAAAGGGGTATTTTGCCGCAATTGCCACACGATCCTGACACACAACAGTCGTAGCAGAATCACATTGTGATTGGGGTGCCTTTGAACTATAATGGCACCCAAACATGCACAACACGTTGTGCGGAGATTGCCTCTCGGTTTGGGATCATGGGCAGAATCGCAGCAATTCTGCCCATGTTTCCGAATCGCGAGATGCGTGCGGGCCTTAAAGCACAATGTATCATCAGCAACTTTTACTTTATTTAAACTGTACATTTATTTTAAATAAAATACTTTTCATCTTTTTTTGCCCTCTGTTACATCTCAGAGCTGCTGATCTCCTGCAATCAACGTCTTTGCAGTCATTTGCTGTCTATCTGCATGTATTCCATCAAGGGAAAAGTGACAGGGTATTGTAGCCTCCCTGGAGGTATTCCCGAGTGTAGCTCGGGGTAAAGTTTCAGTACCACAAGCGGTAACCCCGAACTACACTCGGGAATACCTTGCAGCACTGCTCTGGGATCTGTTCTTCTCTTACCTTGTCCTTCGCTCCCACGATGTCCCTCCTGCAGTGTCCCCTGTAATGTCCTCCATCCGATGCCGGCATCTATCTTCTGGGTTCCGTTCCCTGCAAGCGTCAGGACGTACGGGGACAGAGCGGCGGGAAATTTGAAAGTGACAAAAAGTCACTAAAATCACATAGTAAAACATTACTGTATCAAACCATTTCACATACATTTTGTCCCGAGTGCTTTGTCCTGTGCCCTGCCTGCATTTTTACTGTTCTTTCTGCCTGGAAACTGAGAAATATTCATGGCGTCCAAAAAGCGTCCCTTTAGGTCTAAGTCGGTTTTAGACCAGCTAGAGAACAGCGATAGTAAATTAGAACTACTTGCAGAATTGAGTGATAATGGAAATTCGTCATCAGACACTGAAAACGATTTAGCGACTTTGCTCAGCGATGTGTGAACTTGGCGCTATTTTTCAAATTTCAGTGTTTTTGGTTTGATTATATTATTGAATTAAATTTATTATTAGTATATTATTATTTTTTATGATCATTTATTAAATTATAATTTATGATTTCATGTTTCAAATTTTAACATACCCGGGATGTTTACTAGACTATTGTTCGGACAGATTTCAGTGAGTTATTCCTAAAAATTACAGGCCTACAATAAAAAAAAAACATATTTACATGCAAAAAAATGTACCGCTTTGAGCACAGAAATATGGACATAATCAGACTGCTAGGGAGGTTAAAGGCTAATTCTAATTCCAAAAAAAAAAAGATAAATGCACTCATATTGGCTAATTAAAATTGTGCATTTATTGTTTTTTTTTTTTGGAATGAAGCCTGCAAAGCATTGCAAAGGCAATCAGTGGATCAAGGATGCAATGCTCAGGCTTCTGCAGACTATTCCAGGTCCAGACCTTCAGTTATAGAGTTGGAGGAAGTGTCAGGGAATGTCATAGCAATTGTGCTACATAGTTACATAGTTAGTTTGGCTGAAAAAATACAAAAGTCCATCCAGTTCAACCATAGGAGAAAAAAAAAAAGTTATAATCCTATTCCCTCAGTTGATCCAGAGAAAGGCAAAAAACCCCCAGCAAAGCATGACCCAATTGCTCTATTGAGAATTACAAGTCCCTGCATTGAATGATGTGGGAGTCGCACAGTCACATCGAATGCAACTTTCAAAAGGAGATGTAGGCAGCACAACCTTCAGATTCAGATTTCAGTAAGGGGGGGGGGATTTGGTTGTGGGGGGGCTGCATATTGTTACCATGTTTCATGTTACATCCTATATGGATATAATATGAAACATGCCCTTAAAGGTGGACTTTGCCACACTCCGCCACCACTTTGTTGAGTCCTGCGCATAGGAAAAACAAGGGAGAAAAAAATAAAATAAAACCTTACCATCTCTCACTTCACCCCCTGTACTTAAAGTACAACTAATGGCAAAACTTTTTTTCAGTTTGGATAGAATAAGGGGGGCTTACAGAGGCTTGACAAAAGGGCAGGGAAACTCTGAAATGCGTAGCCATTCCCCCATCTCCCATCTAGTCCCAATACTACACTCCAGTACTACACTTAGACTGGTGCCCTCTGTTGTTCACTTGTAAGAGGGGAGGGTTACAACCTCTGCTAGTTTTTTTTTGTTATCTGTGTCCCATTGGGAAGATTGCCCTTCACTTCCTGTCCCATAGCCAAAACAGGGAGTGATACTAAATCCCTCCACAATTAGGGAATCGGGGGTGTCACTGGTACCTGAACTAGTGTCCCCATTAGAAGATTCCCCCCCCCCCCATTCCTATTCGGCAGACAGCCCAAAATTTGTGATTTTCTTTTACTTTTACTTTCAATGATAACTGTAAAGAAGACAAACAATGATTTTGTATCTCACTAACGTGGGTACAGACAACAATAAAATCCTGAGAGTAGTTCTAATCTCTCTTCATCCACTCTGTCCAAAATAAAAACAGTTTGCCTTTAGTTTACTCAGCTTACTACCTGCGTTTTGTAAAAAAAATGGCAGGAGGTGGATATCTATTTCTGGAGTGCTGTTTATAAATGGCACTTTGGAAACAGCCCTTGGGTGTACAACTGAGAACCCGTTGCTTCCTTTTACAACAGAGGAAGTGGAAGGAAGAGGAACTACTGAATGAAAGATCACTCATTACAGCAATAAAAGCTACCCCTCTTGAACTTACCTTGTCCTGCGCTCCCGCGATGTCCCTCCTGCAGTGTCCCCGGCCATGTCCTCCAGCATCTGTCATCTGGGTTCTGTCCCCTGCGAGCGTCGGGACGTACGGGGATGGAATGGCAGGAAATTTGAAAATGACAAAAAGTGACATTCACTGAAATCACATAGTAAAACATTACTGTATCAACCCATTTCATATACATTTTGTCCCGAGTGCTTTGTCCTGTGCCCTGCCTGCATTTTTACTGTTCTTTCTGCCTGGAAACTGAGAAATGTCCATGGGGTCCAAAAAGCGTCCCTTTAGGTCAAAAGCGGTTTTAGACCGGCTAGAGAACAGCGATAGTAAATTAGAACCACTTGCAGAATTGAGTGATAATGATTCGTGGGGAAATTCGTCATCAGACACTGAAAACGATTTTGCGACTTTGCTCAGCGATGTGCAAACTTGGCGCTATATTTCAAATTTCAGTGTTTTTGGTTTGATTATATTATTGAATTAAATTTATTATTATATTATATTTTTTATGATTATTTATTAAATTATAATTTATGATTTTGTGTTTCAAGTTTTATCCTACCCGGGATGTTTACTAGACTCTTGTTCGGACAGATTTCAGTGAGTTATTCCTAAAAAATTACAGGCCTACAATATAAAACGCCAAATTTCCCTGCAAAATAATGGTACCGCTTTCAGCACCAAAAATCTGAAATAATCATACCGCCAGGGAGGTTAAGGAAGGCTAACATTAGGAATCGCATAGGAATGCTCTGCACATTCCTGTGCAGTTCATATGTGCTTCGGGGCAGTGCAATTTGAACCCATTTATTTTGAAAAGGCTCCAGTGGCACTGCAACGCACCAAAACTAGTGCACTACTTTTGGCAACACACTGGAACTGGATCGCATGGCACTTATGTACCATGCGATCCAGTGCAAGCAAATGCACTGCGTTTGCGACCTGCGTATAGAATGTCATTAACTTAATGTTGACACCCGCTGCAGATTGCAACTGTAGTGTATTTTGAATGTGCTGTGGGAATTGCACATAGAATGCGGGTTTCCTACACCGCGTTCTGGTGAGAACGTGCCCTTAAACACATGTAAATGGTCTTCTCCTGAGGAAACATTACTTTTTTCTCTATGTTTACAAACTCCATTTGCACTGCAGAACATAATAAAATAAATGTAGATTTTTTTTTTTTTTTTGTGTGGTTTGGTTCCAGCATCCATTAATGTCAATAAATGTCATCAGTCTATTATGTTTAATGTATTTAACACCACAGGATGTCTGCAGTGAAATAAATATAATTACTCAGTACAGCAGGTTAGGCCGTTCTTAGTAATGAGTAACATAATAAAAAATGGACTGAAAAAACTATTACCTGCTACAGCCCAGGGGTAAATAATGACCCAGAAAACACATCTGGAGAAACACTTTCTAAGATCCAGAATGGAAGATGGAAATAACTACAATTATTTTCTGCAGCGCTCGCCATTCATTATCAATTGAACAATGCTGAAATGCACCCAGTATTCCTTTTTTTTTTAAATTTTGTTCTCATTTTTTATCTTGCGTTCCTTGAAAGGATTTGTGAACTTCATGTATGTTTAGAGAGGTCATAAGTGGCCCAATTTTTCTAAATGGAGCTTACAATTCTAACGTGACCTATCACAATTGAACTTTTGAAGACTTCAAAGTGGGTGTCTATCCTGGTATTGAGGGTGCTAAAATTTGCACCTACTGTACTCACCCACTTTGAACTTGCATATGCCGGGCTGGTGCAAGGGTACAAAAATGAGAGCCATTCTCTACTGCTTTTAAGTTTCCAACCTTTTGGTCCATGGTAATGCAAGCTGGATGGGGTGGGGACATGTTTAAAGTGAATTTACAGCAAAAACATTTTTCTGCATAAAGTAGAGAATGTAAACCCCATGCTATTTTTTGCTGTCCATGTCCCACTAGAGCAGGCTTTCTAAACCAAGGTTCCTCCAGACGTTGCTAGTGGTTCCCTGAGTTGTGGCTGATTGACCTCCCATTGGTCCCTGTATAGTTCAGAACCAACGTCACTTGACAAAGCCAGTGGCATGACCCGAGTGATCTTTTTAGTTGTCTGTAAGGGGGGGGGGGGGGATTCTGACTACCACTGTAAGAGGGAGCATTTTTCACTCTGACCTCCAACAAACTGATTAGTGGGATTCACCAACATCTGAACATTATTGCAAGGGTTCCTGTGGGGAAAGTGGTTGAGAAAGACCTCACTAGATAGATTACTCTTCACTTCTTGCCCCGGAGACACAACAGGAAATTGGAGGAAATTCATCAAATTGAGGAGAATTGTGGTCTTAGACAATTGTCACTGGAGAATTTGTCCTCAACCATCACTTTTCGCTCTGCTGATAACTCTAAAATTATGGATTTCCCAGCACTTTCTGTCTTGGTGACAGTGGTCATCAGAAACAATAAGCAGGGTGAATCTTCCAAATGGGAACACAGATGGCAAAAAACCTGACAGAGAGTCCAACTGTTCCCTACTGTATCCAAAAATATAAAAAAAGAGAAATAAAGTTTTGCCTTTGCCTACATTTTAGGGTCCATTCACACCATATGCGTTGGGTTGCTTTGGGCGGCTTTGCAAACTGCAGAATTTAGGAGGAGCTGCTGTACTAACTACCCAATGTTAGTACAGCAATCTCCCCCCGCTGAGATACTGTATTCTGACAGGGGGATGGCCGATGCCACCCAATATAACCAAAAGGTAGGCAATGCAATGTATCATAATAACGAATCACGTTGCCTCTTCACAGTGCAAGCAAGCATCATACAAAGCATAGCATGCCCCCAGCAATGTGAATGGGCCCTTAAAACAAAGCCAAATTTCAATCAACATTACCATAACCAAAATTAGTTTTGCTATCTGTAAATTAAAGTAGTTTATAACTTTTCAAAAGTGCATTGTCTCTGCAATCTGTCCCACTAGAATTATCTCTCTGGCACAAGAACTTTTTTCCATACTAGAAAAATTAGCAAATGTACAGAAAATAATTACAGGAAAAAAATCTAAGGGAAGAAGCAGATGAAAGAGGTAGTAAAAAACTAATTGAGGTTAACCAGGAGAAAAAAAAGGGGTTAAAACATTTTTTTCTCTTCATACAGTAAGAGTCGTTTATGAATTAAAGGATATTCTTATTATCCAAAAATAATCCATACACATTCCAATACTTAAAGTGTTACTAAACCCACAACAGTAAAATCAGTGCGGATTTACAGTAAAGTATGCTTGTTATACTCACTGTGGAACGTAATGGGTTAATCCTCTACATTGTGTAAAAAGGCTGTTTGATCCTGTCTTCCCTGATCCTCCCCTTCTTCCACAGTCCCCAATCCATCTGCTGATACTACAGAGCATTGGGAGCAAACTGCACATGCTCAGTTTGGTGTGTATTGCTAGAGAGTTTTTTTTTTCTTGGGAAGGTGCATGTGATCAGCACAGGGCCAATCAGTACTGTCCAGACAGAGGGTTGGGGGTCCTGCAGCCTCATAGGACAGTCAGAGGAGAATGAAAGCTTTAACCACAGCTCTGCTGGACACTAATAGAAGTCACAAGATTGCTCTAACTGCTGACGAGAAAAAAGTATTTAGCAGTTAATATTTACTAAAACTAATTGCCATTTCCATGTTGTGTGTACTGTGAGAGACCAGATATAGTGAATGCAGGGCCCTGGGTTTAGTGACACTTTAATCACCCTGTCATCTATTTTTTATTAAGTAATGTATTTGTTGTTCTGCCTTCTTGTAATGTACCCAATAAACTTCCAAGCCTCTCCTTTTCCCCCTTCACTTTCAGTCTGTTTGTAAAGAGAGGTTGGCTATGTTCTTACATACAGTGGGACCATGGAGAATGAACATAGCCACCTTCTAACAAGAAGTCAGATCACAGCAGCTAAAAAAAGGAGCCTGGAGATTTGGAGGAGACTGAAAGTTATAGAATGGGTTTTTTTAAAATTAGGAATACATATTCAAATATCATTTTTTTTAACAAAAAAAAAGACTACATCTCTATCTTTCAATTATAAATGAATGCAGAGCAGGACTGGGCTGCCAAAATAATAGTTCAGCCAGTACATCAGATTACACCAGTAGAGCAGCTCTGTAGTGTAATCAGTGGAGCTCCTGTTACTTTCACAGCCGTTTGCTCTGCTCTGTTTATCAGGAGTGCACAGAGCCTCGGGTACAGAGGGAACGGCTGTCACACTGACAGCAGAGGTCTACTGAGTGCACTGGAAGAGCGGCATCACTTATACAGCTACAACCATCTTACGCATAATATGCAAACACAACACTGCTCCCGGCCGATCTATGCTTCAACTCCTCTGCATACCCCAGGTGCTGGTCCAGCCTGTTTCCTGTCAGTATATCAACTAAATAACCAGTGAAAGAACACTACAAGAAGTGTGAAATGCATAAGTCTCTTGTATTCCTGTTTATTGTACTAAAGGAGATTTCTATCTATCGTGGTCAGGCGGTAATCCTTTTGTTATGTTCAACAGCCTAGAATAAGTGGTAAGCCCTGGGCCCCAGGTAGATGAGTCCCCGCCAATTGCTATATCTATTGGCAGACTTATTGATCACACATTTCCAACGTGGATATACTATGTTCAGACAAATACAAAAATGGGCACATTCAAAAAAGAAAAAAAAAAACGAATGCAGCCATAACATTTAAAGACTGGTATATATCATAATTTTTTTGGGGGGTTTAGATACTCTTTATGTTCTAAGACAGTGGTCTCCAACTGTGGCCCGGGGGCCGAATGCTAACCTTTGCTTGCCTTTATCTTGACCTTGGAGCATTGTTTCTCTTACTGAAAAGACACAATTCCTCCACTCAACAACGGGGCTCCATTCCTCCCACTGACACCAATGATTGGGGCACCATTCCTCCCACTGACAACAACAATTGGCACTATTCCCACTGACAACAACAATTGGGCACCATTCTTCCCACTGATACCAACAATGTGACACTATTCCTCCCACTGACAGCAACAATGGGGCACTATTCCTCCCACTGACACCAACGATTGGGCACCATTCCTCCAACTGACACCAACAAACAATGATGGGGCACTATTCCTCCCACTGACACAACACAATGGGGCACCATTCCTTGACAACAACGATTGAGCACTATTCCTCTCACTTACACCAATGATTGGGCACTATTCCTCCCACTTATAGCAATGATGGGGCACTATTCCTCTCCAATCACTACAACACCAATTATTGGGCACTATTCCTCCCACTGACAACAACAATTGGGCACTATTCCTCCCACTGACACAACAACATGGCACTATTTCCCACTACCAATGATGGAACACTATTCCTCCCACTTACGCGAACAACGT